TTTCTTCTCTGCTTCCTTCCTTCCCTTCTTCTGTAATAATTTAGCCAAAAAGCCATTAGGCATGTCTGTGCAAGGAAGCCGAGGAAGGCCAGTGAGCAAAGACGTTGGCGGTATTGGGTACTAGGCTTCTCTCAGGCAGAAAAGAACATTACAGATGCAAAGGGGAGAGCTTGATGGAACCCCATGCTGTGAGCTGGAATTTGAGGTGTCAGTGTGAAATGTGCATATCGATATTTGAAAGTTTCATCCATAGAGAAATAACATAATTATGGGGACCGGCACTGTGGCACAGTGGGTTAAGCTGCTGTGGGGCAATGCCAGCATCCCACATCAGAGAGCTGGTTCGCATTCCAGCTGCTCCATTTCCAATCCAGCTCCCTACTCCTGTACCTAGGAAAGCAGTGGAGGATGGTCTAAGTGCTTGAGCCCCTGTCCCACACCATAGAGATCCCTGGCCCTGCAGGGGAGCGAACCAGCAGATGGAAGGTCCCCCCATAGCCACCTTTTGAATAAGTAAGTAAATATTTTATTTATTTTTTAAAGATTTATCTAACTATTTGAAAGTTAGAGATACAGAGAGAGAGGGAGAGACAGAAGGATCTTCATCTGCTGGTTCACTCTCCAGATGGCCTCAACAGCCAGGTCCGGAGCAGGCCAAAGCTAAAATCCAGGAGCTTCTTCCAGTTCTCCTATGTGGGCAGCTGGGGCCCAAGCACATGACACATCTTTTGTTGCCCTTCCCAGGCCATTAGCAGGGAGCTGAATTGGAAGCAGAGCAGCCGGGACTCAAACTGGCACTCTGGAGTTACAGGCAGCGGCTTCATCCATCCTGTCACAGTGCTGGCCACAAAATATTTTAAAGAATAATATAAATGTTAAAGTATGTATGTTCCCATAAATACATTCATGCACAAACACATACCCCTTGCCCATTTCCTAACTGTGCTTGCCCAGCAAATGGGATCACATTCACCACTTCCATCTTAGTGTCTAAATGCCAGTCTTTGGTAAAAGGAATTCCAAGTCTTTGGGGAGAGGGCTGGGCAGGGAAGGTACAGCATGAGCCTAAATGCCTGGTTGTGCGGGAAGATAGGGAAGTGCTAGACAAACAATGGAGAGATTGCAAGGACATAGCCATCAGCCTGAAGGGATTTGTAGAAATCCCTTGTCTAAACCAGCAGAATTCAAGCACCAAAACTACAGATTATGTCCCACTGAATAAATGAGACACCCTGAGTCCACACTGACATAAATAAGTAAAAGCCTGACCATCTGATAAAGAATGCCAGAATTAGAAAGATGGCCATTTGACAGTCTTCGTAGTAATGATTAATTCTGGTAAGGACCTTGATGGATGCTAAAACCAGTGAGTAAAACCGAATGAGGACCAGGATATTTATATAATCACAAAGTGTCCGCCCACCACTGCTTATTCTTTATAGAGGGAAACAGTTACCTTTACTGGAGAAACTTTGATGATGAGACCTTACTGAAATAATCAAAGGTCCCAGACACAGTGATGGAACAACCTGACATCGTGTTTCAGTGATGGGATGCAATGAGAAGGATCCACCGTCATTCCCAGGAAATGTAACCCTTGGGTCTTCTCCTGAGAGCACTTTCATAAGCCCAGTTAGGAGTCATTTTACCAAATGATTAACCTGAAGTCTTCTATAATGTAAAGATCATGAAGGTCAAGGGATGTTCCAGATGGAAGGATGCTGAAGAGAAATGACAGCAAAGTGCAAAAGGAGTGATCCTGGATGGGATCTTTGCATGAAAAAAGATACTACTCAGGTGACTGGCTCGACATCAGCGGAGTCTCTCTGTAGAGAGTATGGGAGAGGTTTTTGAATGATTTGCACATTTCTGCATGTTTGGAATTCCTTTAAAATGAAAAGTAAAAAAAAAAGTTATTAGTATAAGAGTTTTACTTTTTACTTCATTATACAAATTTATTTATTTATGTTTTTTATTTTTTTGACAGGCAGAGTGGACAGTGAGAGAGAGAGACAGAGAGAAAAGTCTTCCTTTGCCGTTGGTTCACCCTCCAATGGCTGCTGCGGCCGGTGCGCTGTGGCCGGCACACCGCGCTGATCCAAAGCCAGGAGCCAGGTACTTCTGGTCTCCCATGGGGTGCAGGGCCCAAGCACTTGGGCCATCCTCCACTGCCTTCCCGGGCCACAGCAGAGAGCTGGCCTGGAAGAGGGGCAACTGGGACAGAATCCGGCGCCCCGACCGGGACTAGAACCTGGTGTGCCGGCACTGCAAGGCCGAGGATTAGCCTAGTGAGCTACGGCGCTGGCCTCATTATACAAAGTTATAATAGAGAATAGTTTCTTAATTCTATCATACTTTGGATTTTATTTGATATGACTCTTAGTGAAATTATTAAATCACACTTTTAGTTTTGGATTTTTATGGAATTGTGAAGAAACAATAAATTTTCATGAGACCAGGCCCTTTGTGGACACTGTGCATGGTTTGTATATCTATACAATTCACTCAACTGAGACAGAGAAGAGACAGAACCTTGGAGTGTCTTAGGACCATCATTGTGAGTATTGCAATGTTGCTGAGGCATTTTGGATTTTTTTTTTGACAGGTAGAGTGGACAGTGAGAGAGAGACAGAGAGAAAGGTCTTCCTTTACCGTTGGTTGACCCCCCAGTGGCCGCTGCGGCCGGTGCTCTGTGCCGGCGCACCACACTGATCCGAAGCCAGGAGCCAGGTGCCTCTCCTGGTCTCCCATTTGGGGTGCAGGGCCCAAGGACTTGGGCCATCCTCCACTGCACTCCTGGGCCACAGCAGAGAGCTGGACTGGAAGAGGATCAACTGGGACAGAATCTGGCACCCCGACCGGGACTAGAACCCGGTGTGCTGGCGCCGGAGGTGGAGGATTAGCCTAGTGAGCCGCGGTGCCATCCGAGGCATTTTAGATTAATAGGATTAGCTGTTGTGTGGAATCAGGCTGCTTGGTCTCCAGTCCTGCCTCCACCACTCACCACCGTGTGACTTTGAACCAGTAAGCTAATATTTTTGTTTTTCATTTACAAAATGTAGGTAGTAACAGTGCCTACCTCTTGGAGTATTGCGCTGACCATGGGGTTAAAATACCAACAAGGTATACAGAAGGGATCTGATGTAGATGGGTAAATACTATGTTATCATTGCTGCTACTACTACACTATGCATAACGCACATGGAATAAAGGCTAGAGAATCTGAAGAACAATTGCGTTTGGCCATGTGTTAGCAGTGGGATCCCTCCTCCCACTGCAATGATGGAAAGAAATGCCATTGATTGAGGATACTAACACGGTGTGCTGGTCCTTAAAGGCGCTTCTCTTATCTCCAGAACCAGTTCCTGGGCCCTAAACAGACCAGGAGTTTTTTGGGGGAAGGCTTCTATTTTAAGTGTTTAGGAAGAACAGTAGAAATCAAGATTGGATCAAAGCAAAATAGAAAGAAAACAAGATTGGAGAATCAGAGAGTCAAAATCTGAGGAAAGAACCCTCACGTTGGCAAAATTGACTTGGAAATATAGTGACGACAAGCCTTGTTTCAAGTTCACTTGTTGAATCTCCACATATTTATGTATCTGCAAGTACGAGTAAACATATACACGAAAGGAGTGAGCAAACACACAGTGTCCCTAAAGGAGGGAACTGTAGTCTAATTAGTGCTGCCACCCAGCACTCTGCCACCTGCTCCATGCTCTGCAGCCTGCTGCCTGTCCCCCAAGGCTTCCAGTCAAGCTCATGATGTACTCCTGTTACACATAATTAGAGAGTGTTGTGTTCAGTGTTCTGTGTGTTTATTTGCTCATGCTCTGCTCCTTTCTGAAAAAGATTGGAAGGAATAAGTTGAATTGTCTACTTTCCTAATAAATACTATGTTGTCAAGGAAAGACCTTCATTAACAAAGTGTAAGATGAGAGAAGAGACTGATGGGCTGTGTGGAAGAAGAGAGAGAATAGACTTCACCAGAGCCTGAAGGATGGGTAAACTCAATGAGAAATCAGAGAGAGAGAGAGAGAGAGAGAGAGAGAGAGAGGCAGGGAGGGAGATTGGCAGTGGAAGAGTGATGGATTTGACTGTGTTTTCTTTTTTTCAGTAATGCAACTTGAGCACATTTGAGACCATCTCATGGAGTAAACTCAGGCACAGAGTGTTTCTGATAGAGCCCAAAATGTAGCCAGTTTGTTGACACTTTGCCTAAACAACTCAAATTGCTACCCCTTGGTTCAGTCTCTTTTCTATTACCCTGGCTATAGTTCTTTGAAATTTGGAGCACATTTACCTGTCTTAAGATGCACTGGCAATAAACCAGCTAGGATTCCTTATACCCTCTAAGTTGTAAGACTTTTTCATAGAATTATATATGTGGACCTCCGTCAAGATGATATTTACAGTGAGTAAGAACTCAGAATCTAGAGCCAGAAGCCCTGGGTACAAATCCCGACTTTGCCATCTGTGAGCTATTTTCTTCATCTGTAAAATGGCATTGGGATAAGAAACAAATGAGGACATATGTGGGAAAGTATGTGCTATATAGGAAGCTTTCAAAAAATGTTAACTGGTGTGTATTTGTCTAATGAGTAGAAATAGAAAACTTCGAAGCTTTCTTGAAGTCTTAGTATATAAGTCTCCCGTTATCCATGGGGTATGTGTTCCAGGACCCTTAGTAGATGCCTCAAGCTGTAGATACTATCCAAACCCACATATAGACTGTGTTTTAATCCTGTTTAATTTATGGAATTGGGCACAGGAAGATATTAAAATGACGGATAATAAAATTGTTACCAATATATTGAAATAAAAGTTATTTAAAACTTCTGAATTATTTGAGGAATTTCCCACTTAATGTGTTTGGATTACACTTGATGATAGGTAAAAGCAAAATCATGAATAAATGTTACCCTCCTTACCTGATTCTGCAATAACTGTGCAACATCTTTCTTTCACATGGCATTCTAACAAGTCATGACTTTTGCCAACAGGTAAAATCATCAGATGGAATTGCTCCATTCTTATCTGCGGAGTGCTAGATCTTGATTTGGAAGTTCCTGACAAAATTTTCTATATCAACGTTACCAACTAAAGGTAAAAGCTACTTTTATTCATTTAATATGAATTAATAGATATTGAAACTTAGAAAAGAAAAACTATTTAGCATGTTTTGAAATCTGGAACATACCAAATAAAATTCTGGTTTCTTAGTGTTGAAGAAAATGATTTTGAAATATCAATAGAAAAAGAATGATCAGATACAATGGATAATGTCAAAATGTGTTTTCCTTTAAAGTTATTAGAAGGTACCTGAGAGACATCTTGGTACCCATTTTTGATGTCTCCAGGATGCAGATCTTGAAATAATGTCATACAATTTTGGAAAAACAAATTAAGTAAGAAGCAGCCAGCCCAGTACCCGACTAAGGCAATTGATGAATGAAATAGGAAAACCCTGGACAAGATGCAAATATTGCGGTAAAAAGCAATAGAATTAAGCCTGGAGCCACTCATGCCCTCACTCAAGGATCCAGGAGATTGGCTGGAGGAGAAAAATCCCTTCTGGGATGTCCCTGTTCATTTTAAACCCAAGTAAATTGCTTATAGTGTTCAACGTGGAAATTCTTATTTTTTTAGAGGATGGATATGAGAAGCTACCAAGAGCTGGCTTATTCTCAAGGCATTTCTGCCTGCTATTCTTTATAGAGGTTGTTCTTAACTTCTTCCATTCACCTACAACTTTCTATTCCTCCAAGTTGTGGAATACTGCCAATCAGAACAGGAGCTTTAGACTTCCGTCTGCACATTCTCACAGTGAACCTGTGCTCACACCATGTCCTTGCCTCTAGTGGAAGATGAGCACACCCTGGTCCCGGTCAGTGGCTTCTTCCCAAGCTGTGGAACCTTGCTCTTCTTCCTCTCTGCTCTGACACCCACTTCAGTTTCCCTTTATCAGTCTATCATTCTTGCTGTATTCTTCCATAATTTTTCTTAATTTTCTTTTCCCCTCAATTCACCATTTTAAATTGTAGCATTAATGGTTTTTAGCACATTCACGAAATTGCTCAAGAATCGTCGTGATTTAGTTCTAGAATATTTTCATCATCCTGAATAGAAACTCTGTACCCATGTCTAGTTACTCTCCATTCCTCCTTTCCCGCTAGCCCTTGGAAATTACTAATCTACTGTCAAAGCATTTGCCTATTCTAGACATTTCATAAAAGTGGAATCATGTAATTTGTAACCATTTGTGTCTGACATTTTTATTTAGCATAAAGTTTTTAAGGTTCATCTGTGTTCATTCATGTTGAGCACATGTTGCTATTTGATTTTTTTCGATGACAGAGTAATAGTCCATTTTGGAATGTAACGCATTTTATTTATCCATTCATTGAGATTTGGATTGTTTGCCCATTCTGACCATTGTGTCATTGAGGAACATTTGGACTGTTTCCACTTTTTGGCTATTTTGAGTAGCATTGCTGTGAATATTTACATACAAGGTTTTTGAGTGGACGTATTTTTAGTTCTCTTGGGTTTATATGAGGGATCTTCAGAAGATTCATGGAAGATGTGTATCCTGAAAAAACAAAAAAACAAGGCATGGATTTCAAATTTTTTGCAACAAAATAAACTTATCTTTTAGTTTTGTTTTCCATGCTCTACTGAAATCCACTTGCATATCAGGAAGTGAAATTTCATGATCGTTGAGTAAAGTCTATGCTTAACATTTGTAGGAACTGCTAAAGTGTTTTCCAATGTATCTTTACCTATTTACATTCCCACTATCAATAGATGAGTATTCCAGTTTCCCCACATCTTCCTCAACACTTGTTACTGGCAGCCTTTTTAAATTATAGCCATCTTTGGATGCAAAGTGGTTACCTTTTAATCTCTCTTGGATGTCACTTCCTCTGGGGAACTCCTCCTATTTTGGGTTATATTAAAAGTCCCACCCCATATACTCTCTAGCACCCTGTGCTTATTCTTGTAACATGATTCACCACACTGAATTACGATTATGTGTTAACTTTGTCTCTTCCGTTAGAGTATGAACCTGTTAGAGAGGGCACTCAAGTATTTCTTGTGGGTACGTCCCAGGATTGACACAATGCCTGACCCAGTTCTTTGTGTGTGTGTGTGTGTTGGAGGTTTATTTATTTGTAAGTCCGAGCTACAGAGAGAGGGAGAGACAGATGTCTTCCATCCACTGGTTCACTCCTGAGATGGCCTCAATGACCAGGACTAGGCCAGGAGGAAGCCAGGAGCCATCAGCTTCCTTCATGTCTCCCTCATGGGTGTCAGGGGCCCAGGTATTTGAGCCAGCTTCTGCTGCTTTTCCCAGGCCATTATCCGGGAGCTGGATGGGAAATGGAGCAGCCAGAATACAAACTGATGCTGGTATGGGATGCCTGCGTCACAGGCAGCGGCTTTACCCGCTGCACCACAGTGCCAGATCCCTGACCCAGTTCTTTAGTCTCATTTTTTTCTTTCTTTCGAGGTGATAGGAGACTTGCAGACCAGGCACCATAGCGTTATTATGCTAAGCCCCTGAACCTAAGAATAGAAATATTTGGAAGTATTGTTGGCTCATATGCAGTTGTTGGAGAAGACACATTTTTTTGAAAAGCGTGTGTGTCTCACTTTCTAGGAAGCTATTTTATAACTACTGTTATACCAATGTAGTACTGTCCACTAATTCACCAAGTAGTTGGAAAGAAGAAATTAGGGATATCATATAATATCAAAAGGGAAAAACACCCAGGCGACTTTTAAAATACAAATCAATTAGCCATTTTTACTTTGATCCTTTGAAAAACTGTGGTTGAGAACTGCTTATTTCTTTGTAAAAATAATGACAATTATGTATATTAGACTACAATAATTTGAAGTAGGGATAGAAGTTAAGGACGATGTCATGAAATCTTTGAACCTTTAAAAACAATGGTCAGTCCTGCTGGGTTTTAGTTGTAATATTAGTGTCCAAAACCTTAGACTCATTAGCTCCAGGGTTGAACAGATAGGAATCAGCACCGGGGAACAATAGCTAAAAGCAGAATTAAACATAATTAAAAACTTAAAATATGTTTCAATTAAAAAGTATATTGAGGGGCCGGCTACGTGGCATAGCAATAAGGCTACCACCTGAAGCTCAGGTGTCCCATATGGGCACTGGTTCCAGTCCCAGCAGCTCCGCTTTTGATCCAACTCCCTGCTAGTGCACCTGAGAGAACAGCAAAGATGGCCCAAGCACTTGGGCTGGTGCGATCATGTGACTAGACCTGGAAGAAGCTCCTGGCTCCTGGCTTTGGCCTGGTTCAGCTCTGGCCATTGCAACCATTTGGGGAGTGAACCAGTGAATGGAAGATTCTTTCTCTATCTCTCCCTGTCTCTAACTCTGCCTTTCAAATAAATAAGTAAATCTTTTTTAAAAAAAAAAGTGTATTAGAAAGTTGAAGGTGCATTCTTATTAAATTATAATACCATGTACAAAAGTCTAGATTAAAAGTCACATTTAATAACTTCTTTTCAACATTCCCTTCTCCCCACGATGTATTTGTTTTTATAATCAACATTTAGATAATTTGTTTCCTGTTATTATTTATCATCCCATAAAGACTTGTTTAAGCGTTTTAGAATTTAGCTTAATGGAAGGTTATGCTTGGACTGTGTAGCTATTCCCTTATTTGACAGTATTTTCAGTGTATTCTTGGAAACTCTATCCAGCTTCTTTGCTATGACTTTTATATACTTCTGGAATGAAGTAGAAATGGGGGAGGGAAAACCGGAGAGAAACAAATGTAAGTTGGCCCCAGATCAGTGAGATAGTATCAGAGGAGGCCAAAATGAACTTGGCAGCTGTTCTTCTCATGTTTCCCACTTGGGCGTGCACATATTGTCGCTTGGAATACCACTTGCATTTCTTTCATTCTTCTAAGATTTTTCTTCAGCTTCAGTAACAAACTTTAACTTAAATAGAAGCCAGGAACGAATATTGAGAATCTTTTTTTAACTGTGTGAATGTGCTTAGGATAGGTATTTTGCTGTTAAGATTTGGTGGGTAAAGGGTGCAGTAGCTAAGCGTAGGAATGAGAGTGGGGAGAGGCAGGCAGGGTGATGTGTTTCATGTTTAGAGATCTGAGTTTGAGTTCTCATTTAGCTACTTAATAGTATGTGACTTCAGCAAATTAATCCTTGAGTCTGGTTTTACTTACCTGTAAAATTGATATATTAATTTTTACCTTATTATTGTAATACTGAGAATTAAATGACAAAAGGCACCCAGTAAATCTTAACTGTTTCCAAATGCTCCAATTTACTGAAAAGTAGTTCAATAATTTTTATGATAAAAATAGAAGTTTTCTTATCAATTATTCTTTTAATGTCAGGTAGGAATTTCATTTTCATGATGTTCAATTGAGATATGAGTGGTAACTGGTACACAGTAACAAAAAAAGTTAAAAAAAAAAAAGCCTGAGCACATAAATTTGTATTGATGAAATAGTATGATTGTGGCAATATAGGCTTAATAGAGTTAATTGAAATTGGATAGGAGTACAAGAAATCTATTATTTTATTTCTTTTAATTTTTTTTTTTTTTGACAGGCAGAGTAGACAGTGAGAGAGAGAGACAGAGAGAAAGGTCTTCCTTTGCCGTTGGTTCACCCTCCAATGGCCGCCGCATCTGGTGCACTGCGGCCGGCGTACCACGCTGATCCGATGGCAGGAGCCAGGAGCCAGGTGCTTTTCCTGGTCTCCCATGGGGTGCAGGGCCCAAGCACCTGGGCCATCCTCCTCTGCACTCCCTGGCCACAGCAGAGGGCTGGCCTGGAAGAGGGGCAACCGGGACAGAATCCGGCGCCCCGACTGGGACTAGAACCCAGTGTGCCGGCGCCGCTAGGCAGAGGATTAGCCTAGTGAGCCACGGCGCCGGCCTATTATTTTATTTCTTGTGGTATTTGTGTAACTGCAGACAACTGAAAACTGACATTTTGCAAAAACCCAAAATGTTTTCTAGAAATATATTCCAATTATTATCTTTTAAAAATATAATGATTTGTTTATTTGAAAGGTAGTCTTAGAGAATAGAGAGA